TGTATATATATATATATATATATATATTAGATCCGAAAACTGTTTTTGAGAAAATTAACATTCTTTGATTTTAACTAAGCTTGAAATGCCTCGTGAACAATTGCCACTCGTAAAGCAGTATAATAAGAATCAGTGCAGATAGAGCGTTACAGAGCCTATAGGGAAGACCGGGGTGTGTTAATACAGTTTTCACAATTTCGGCATATTAGATTTTTTAAACAATTAATTATTATGATTAAAATACACTAATATGATAGAAGAGAGAATTTTTCTCTATATTTTCAAACTAGTAATGATTCTATACACTACCTATACAATAAATGAAATACGAACATACTATGTTGTAATAAACTTCCCCTGATATGTGGGATAAATTGGTACACGAAGTAAGAGAGAAGAAAGCTCAACTGCGAAAAGAAGGTAGAATCGGTTTGTGAGCCGAATTGAAAGAAAATCTGCTACCAGAATAATCTGCACATTTGGACGCCATGTTTAAAAAATCAGCTGTACAATAATACACACGGCATCATTAATGCCTAGGCATTTGAATTTGCAAGAGTATCGAGGCGTATTCCAGACGCGCGTTTCTTTCTAAATATTCATGCATTATGACTAATGGTTATTCAAAAATATAAACTTAAAATTAAACTAAATTAAACTAATCAGTTTAATTTAGTTCAATTTTAAGATTACGTTACATTTTTCGTATTGTTCTTTTGTAAAAAAGAAATTGCCAAATGTTCTCTGATGACAATTTTTCACATAACTTTTATATGAATTGAAATATTTTTCAGAAATACTAAAAAATATTCGAAAAGTTTATATCTTCTTTTGAATTTTTCATACATGTGAATTCTGAAATATTCTGAGATTTCTCATTCCATAATTAAAAAAATATATTTTTAACTTTTTTAGATTTTATAACATTTTATTAGAAATTATACTTAGAACAAATTTTAGAAATCTTAAAATATTTCATTAACATTATATATGAAAAATTCTGAGAAAAGGTGTAGACCAGAGCTTTCTGAGTATTTCTGAAAAGTTCTAATTCGTATAAAAAATGCAAGAAAGTTATAAAATTCTACAGAAATTTTGAAAAATTCTGAGAAAAATTTTCACCAGTTGTGTCTAAAAAAGCGATTTTATTTATAAATTATTAAATTATTTATAAATTATTAAGTTTAGTTTATGTTTAGTTTAATTTAGTTCAATTTTAAGTTTACGTTACATTTTTTAATAATCATTAGTCGTAATGGGTGAATATTTAAAGAGGAACACGCGTCTTGAATATGCCTCAATGCTCTTGTAAATTCAAATGCCTAAGCATTAATTACGCCGTGTGTACGTACGAGCTACTGACGTACATTTCTTGTCATTTCTTCGATTTGTACTTTTAATTGTGAGGTAAATTTTTTTTATTCGGACAACTTTTAAAGGTGAGTGAGATAAGGTTGATATTGCCAATGGCGTTTAAATATGTAGGTTATTTCTCAGCGGATTTTCTCTCAATTTGGCTCACAAACCGTTTCTACTTTTTCTGTTTGCGAGCTATCAAATTGAGTCTCCTTCTTTCTTACTTTGTAATACATATCACGGTGTAAGTTGCTTCTATGATAAATTTTATATTAAATTAACAAAAACGTAATAGAAAAGTAATAGAAATAAAAATCAAGTAGTAGACATGTATTTCTTAGTAAAAATTAAATTAAATCTTTCAAAATTATTTTGTAATAATCAAATAACAAAATGTTATAGAAAAATAAATAAATTATTTTATTTTTACTTCTTATTTTAATATAGAATATTAAATATAAATCACGTTTTGTCAGAGTTGTGGTTAAATGTTCACACGGTACAGTAAGTCAACCTAAATTTGTCTTATACAAGGTATCCCAGAATTAAAAATTATCTTTATGTGTAAATAGAGAGGACTAAGCTGTGTGAGAGTCGCAACATGTCCTTTACAATTTTTTAATTTTTGCAATAGTTAACGAGTTATTAATTATTAAAAATTATCGTAATCCAATCTACTGCTGAATGCAAACGCACAGCGAGATGCAGTCGCCGAGTGAGGTTGCTAGGTACACGCGAAGAGTTATTTATTGTATTAGTAATAAATGCGCTTGCATTCGATAGAAGACTTTCCTAATACGGCGATTTTTAATAATTGATAATTCGCTAACCATTGTAAAAATTCAATAGTTGTAAAGGACTTTTTGACTCATTTTAGTCTGTTCTATCTGCATATGAAAATAGTCCTAAATATTCTGAGATACGCTGTATATGAGTCAATGTGCCTCCATTCCTATATATGTCTGATTTTTATCATTTTATTATGAGAAATTATTTGTACTTAAAATATCGGGTTGTACCTATACTAACAGACTTTTTTTTTAACTAATAATACTGTCCGACACTGATTTTGTCTTTGGCTTACAAAGTATCATTTCCGAAGTATTTATTGACGTTGAATACAATGCTGTCCTTAGAATTTGCCTATCACGTCATATTTCCGAGAAAATTGCAAGAAAATAAGCGATAATTGATGATTTTGATCGTATTTAGAATGGTATTGCGGATAAGGAAATTTTATTTTTCCATTGTTGTTTATTATCCTAAAATGTCATTTTTTTACTTTCAAAATGAGTTTTATTTCTGTATGATTTTTTGACCAAATTTACGAGTTTGAAGTTATCATCGTGTGATGCTTAGTCGAGGAAAATCAGCGATATGATAGAATAATAAAAATAAAACAAGAATAAAAAATAAAAAAACAACGAAGTAATTTAAAAATTAAATAAAAAGGAATATATAAAAAAAAGTGTAACAAAAATCGCCTCTAATATAATGCACTGCAGAAATACATATTATGGATGAATAATTCTCTAGCAACTGTTGCTAAAAAGTCATGTTTAAAAAAGAATGTTACACAATTACATAAAGACGGTGTTACATATGTTAAAGAGAATGTTAACAATTCGTTAATTAAGAATTCAAAACAATAAAATTATATTCGCTTATAGAAGAAAATATAGTTATTGCGATATAGAATCCTTGTTACTTGAGATTTGTAAGACTTCGTATGGAAAATATAGAATTTCCAGATTTACGTATTTCCTGACTTCAATCTTCGCAAGTCTGTTATAGAAACTTCTTTATTTAAATATATAACAATTATTGAATAGTTTCTGGTAGGCAAGAATTATTATGACAAATTATTTTAGAAAATTTGATTTTTTTTTTAAATAAAAAATTTTTGCAAGAAAAATATTTTTTAATAACGTAAAGTACGGCCTTCGCACATTTAAGCTACAGAGGCGCTACTGAGCCAGAGCATCACGTGAGCGCCCGGCGGCTCGGCCGCTGAGCCTCGAACGGTAGTAGGGGTCGCGCGTCGGAATCGGCCCGAAATGTGCAGATCTTTGCAAGCACTAGTATAATATATTACTTAGATTTTTTTCAGCTTTTTCAAGCTGAAGGACATTAATACGAAATTATGAAATGCTTACTTGCCTCTTCTTGAATTATATTTTTTTCTTTTTTTATTATAATACTTGTTTGATTTAAATGAGACCTAAATAAAAATTGGGGGGATTATCAGAATGAGTGTGTAATAATTTCATCGGCTCTCAATTTATTTCTGAAAAATTAAATTCAATTTAAACGAATGTTAATTCAACATCTTAACACTCGGAACTGTAATCGTATTTAAAGTTTGTATATTTGAGTTCCATTTCCAATTATATTGTTTATCACGCTCGCCTATACATGCGTAACTCACTACACATATCAGTTATTGCGAGGAATGTTGTTAAGGTCTCGGTAGTCTAAAGGCTTAGGACGCTCGCACGGAATGCAAGAGATCCGGGTTCGACTCCCGGCCGAGGCAATATTTTTCGCAATAAGTTTATTACAATTTTTAAGATTTGGGAAAATTTAGGTGGATTATCAGAATGATTGTGTGAATCCGATAATTTCATCGGCTCTCAATTTATTTCTGAAAAATTAATTCAATTTAAATGAATGTTAGTTCAATATCTTAACACTCGGAACTGTAAGGCGCTTCATATTTAAAGTTTGAATATTTGAGTTCCATTTCCAATTATATTTTCTTTTATTGTTTCTTTCGTTATAAACGGAACTCAATGTCAACTTACCTCTTGTGTCAACGAGCTCCGATTTCTCCTACTCAGATTATATGCTTATACTCGTATATTCTCTCTCACTGAAGATGTATTTTTCTAATCTTTCTAATTTCTTTTTATTATATTACTGTAAACTTACTTTAATTATTTTCAAGTTAACGTTTTTTTTCAACTGAATAATTTTATATTCGCAATTTTTCAATGAATTAATGAACAACTACTGTTTTATCTCTTCGCAATAATTGATAACTGGACCTTCCATCAGTACAACAGATATAATAATGAGAATTCTTACAATTAATAATATTATATATTTTTGTATTTATTTCGGAATATAGCGAAAATTTGCCTTATATTGTTATGATCGATTATATGTAATAGAATCGATCTTATTTATAATATTTAGATAAAAGCAGATTTAGAAAAAAAAAATCCATTTCCTTCTCCATTATACTCCTTGTTTATAA